GTGCCATTTTCTTCATTAGAGTGGTTTTGTTGATCAGATTCTTATTCAGGAAGACCTTTTAATATCTGGACAAAAAACAAAAACAAACAAAAAAAAAACATTGTTGCAAAAAAAGTTTATTGGAGAAGGGATCTGCTATATTAAGAGCCATTCTCTGTAATGATTTGAAATTTTATACAGGAGCTGTGGCACGCATAGTCTCAGAATTTCTCCAAACTCTCTATGATAAAAGTCATTGATACCCTAAACTGAAATCAGACAAAAAATGGTTGCTATGTTTTATAGTTACCATGGCAACATGTCTTAAAGTTTGAAAAATGGCATTTTTTTAACATGTTTAGAGCCCCATAGTTAACATTTGCGGCAAAGCAAACAATTGGCAATGGCTGTTTCCAAAAGTTGAAGGTCAAATGTCTCAAATGCATGATAAACATGTTTGGTAAATCAACTATTACATACGTTACTATGGTAACAAAGTATTCAAAAGTAAACAAAAATATTCATTGAATTTTATAAAGTCATACACGTAAAAATAAAAAGCAATTATAGGATGAAATGTGACCAAATAATAAAAAAAGAGCCTTGAAACATATACCAAGAACAAAATATAATATTTCATTTTGGTTGGCAATGGTTGCCAAGGTTTTTATACCACAAAGAGCCTTCAAAGTAACACTCTGTATGTTTAAATCTGATCCTATCTTTTAAAAAAGCACATTTCCTCATAACTAATGATCAATTTTTAAAGATGTTGGTGTGTTCCTATTTTTCCCATTTGAAAAAATTCAGATTAGATTCTTTAAGTAGAGCGTTGCTATGGAAATAAGCAGAAAATATATGCTTAAAAACCTGAAAAATATTTTCTTTCCTTGGATACGTATCCTTAAATGTAGATTCCCAAAACTTTTATGATTGATATTTATAAACAGCTCACCTGACTTTTCATTTTGACTATCATCTAATCTCTAAGTGGATGCAAGAAGTTGGCACACAGGATTTAATACTGATATAAAGTTCACAAAGTCGAACAATTTCCCTTCTTGGTAACCATAGCAACAGTGTTGTTTTCTTCATCAAATTTTATCAATATTTGACATTCAACTTCAGTTCTAATAGATAAGTACTATTCAAGCTGAGTCCTTTAATTTGTTTCTTGAATAAATGGCAATTTAATTCTTAATGCAGCGAAAAATAATTCAGTTTTAAGTACTGGTACTTTGTTTCCATGGTAACACTGCAAAGTAGCAATTATACCCAATTTTTCTTATGGTTTTGGTGTTGCAATGTCCTAAGGATGCATATTTGCCAGTCTTGAATTTTCATGTTTTTCCTCTAGACAGTAGCATTAACCCAATCTTAGTTACTGGTTTTGCATGGTTACACCGTGTTACCATGGCAACCAAAAAATTTATTTATAGAATAATATTGCTTATACTTATATACTTCAGGTCAAACATTTTCATTGTTTTTCTTAAGTCGTTGATTGAGTTTGAGCATGTAACACCTACCATTAGTGAATACGGGGTATTTTTCAGCATATTTCAGCATTTTAAATGTATTCCAAATGTACCCTTGGTTACCACTTACTTAGAGATATATTCTAAACAATTTCTTTACAGTATAAGTGACATCAAGGTGTCATGTTTTTGTTAGAATGGTTTGTTTGCTTTTTCTAGTTTTTATTAAGCCACAGTCAAGATTTAAAATGGCTGAAAATCTTGATTTTTCAAACTTTTCCGGCTGTTGCCATAGCAACCGAGACACATAGCAACGAAATTTTGTTTGATATTTGTTTCTGGTGTCAAGTACTAAGCATGGGTGAAGTTTCATCAAAATCGGTGACCATGCGTGGCAACGAAGTTTAAGTGGTTACAGAGAATGGCTATTAATTTTCTTCACAACGCTTGAACCCATTCGTCAAGAAGAGTAAAGGAGTTTTTGAATCAACGGAAGCAAACACCGCTTTTCAATGATTTAGTCTGCCTGATTAAACTAATAGATTCTCTTTGAATCGAAACACATGTGCGTAACATTTTTATCCATTTTCTGGTTGTTTTTCTGGTCGATTTTGAGTATGGCCCTTCGTATACTGGATTATGGCAGATCCTATGATTGTCCTACGTGTTTCTTCTTTCTGAAAGGTGTTCTTTAAAAATTTTGGAAAATGAACCAAGTCAAAGGTTGACAGATCTAGCGAATATCATTGTGTAGCAAACTATTAACATTCTCTTTATCCCAAAACTTCTTTTCTCTTCATGGTGTGTGAGTTTGGACGCTGTCATGAAGAAATTTAATGTAGTGAATTCCTGATTCTAGTTCCTTCCTCTCAAAAACCTTTCGCGGATTTTATTTTTTTTCTGCAAAACACTGCCTTATATATAGACGCCTTCAGAAATTGGACTGCCTTCCCGAATAAGAATTTGAACAACAAGACCACAAATATTTAAGAAAATGGCATATAAAACTGTCTTTGTTCTCGTGTAATTCTTTGCTCTTTTCAGACCTTTGCTGTTTTTGTCAAGTGTATCTTATTGTAAAAATGTTTTGAGGGTTTTGATGGTGATTAAGCAATGGATTCAAGTTTCATTATCTGTTTGAATTTCGGACAAACATAGATAACTACAATATATCTATTCTTTAAATAGATGTTTAGATATTCTTACACGATGTCGTTTTCATTCATTTTTCAAAACATAGGGTGACCGTTGAGTACTAAAGTCTTAGCTTTTTTTACTGTCAAATGCTTCTTTAAAATAGTGTGAACTACTCACAAATTGATGCCTATTAGCTATGACATTTTAAAGTCAATTGAACAGTATAAATGATTATTTGTTGAATTTTGGCAAACAGAACATTGTTGTTTCAAGTCCTTGTCGCCAAGTACGGTACCCATTTTTGATACCTATTATATCATTATTGTTCATTGAATAATACAAAATCAGAGCAGATCAAACATGGGCCTCTCAAACATTAGATGTGGATTCAGGTGCCATCATGGCATGGAGGAGTGAGCTTCCCCTGCTCCCAAACATCAGATGTGGGATCAAGTGCCATGGAGGAGTGAGCTTCCCCTGTATATCCACTGTGTACTCCTTATATGAAGTGGGAAATAACGGAAAATCCATCGACAATTTAGTGTGTTTATAATGGCCTAATAATTAGTATGAAAAACACCAGTCTGCATTTAACTTTATGATAAATTCATTTGCTGACAATGTCATTGTATCGACAATGGCTTTTACGAAATAATTACTTTAAACGAGATTGCTGATATTTTTGTCTCATCATCTTTTTGTCAATAATTTGCGTCGTTTTAGAAAGTGTTCATACGTAGAGCATGATCTTTAGCATCGAATCAACTAAGAGATATAAACCCCGTATGCTGGTGATAAAGGTATATTGCTGCATATTAAGTAAGGAAAATTGACGATTGAAATGTTAAACTAACACAGCGCTCGGTTGTTAGATTATTATTTGCGTTTTCTTCACAAAAATATCAAAATATTTCAGACTCTGTGGTGTTTTTTATTTCACGCTAACCGGGATACCGACATAAGAATTGAAATTAAAATTGTGAATTGACAATATGGAAATAACCATTTATAATTGACAATCATCCATACATCGTCCATATACATGTATATCAAAATGTCGAGTTGATCCTAGGCTACATCAAGTGTTTTCTTCGTTTCATATCTCGCCGAGATTAACGAATACAAAAATGGAACACAATGGGAATTCCAATAGATTTTTGGAAAACTTGGTCTTCAAAAATCACATATATATTGTCAATCAGAAACTCAAGCATCTTTTTTATATTAACTTCAGATGACTTCTGTGTGCAATCAGAATTTTTTAACAAAATAATTTCTAAAGAGGACTGTGCAAGTAAAAATTATTAATTCAACTAAAATTCATGCAATGAAAATACAAGTATTTATATTATAAATTTTAAACATGTTATTTTTCCTTGAAATGTTATAGCGTGTATAGATTTACATGTAAAATACACAATTACCATACAGACCATAACATATTTGAGACTCACCGGCACTGAGGTAAATAAAACTCGACAGAGTAGATCGATACAACTTATTCAATTTATAAGGCATTTGATGTTGGATTTAAATGTATTATTGTTAAATATAATAAAACAATTATAAAGAAATTTGCAAAAGAAATAGAAAGTAATGTTTCCATACTATGTTTGACCTCATCAAATTGACTACTCAGAGGTCTCAGAAAACTGATTAAGAAAACTATGAGTAGTATTACTATTTTGTACATTGAAAGTTATCTGTCTTATCAGAGGGTCGCTATCCCTTCAACAATTAGGAAGGCATCTTAGCAACCTTGCAATAAAACGTTTGAAATTTTAAGTAAGTATATTATTACTATATGACACCCCCTTCCAAAATACATAATTGAATAAATGTTGAATCAACTGTTTTTCAACATAAACGTTGATTATCAATGTTGATTCAATGTTAAGACTTCAACGTTGATACAAATTTTCAAAATCTAACATAAAATCAATGTTGAATCAACATAGAAAAACAACGTTGATTCAAAGTTTATTCAATGTTGTGTGCCTGCTGGGTCTATATTTACGGGCGTCCTCTGCCTAAACACTTAGAATAACAGACTGCAATCACTTAGTCTTGTTGCTGTCTAAATTCAAAAAATTCAAGAATTTTCAGATGAACTGATAGAGAGCGCAATGTATAAGGCTGTATCTTTTCCCCTTTAAAATATTTTCTTATTTGTACTTCTATGCATGCCTTTTAAGACTATCATTGACTATGGAGTCATTTAACATTTGATTAATGTGATTAAAAATTTATGCCAAACTGGGATAAACCACAGAGCACGACTTGTGAACAGCAAATATACTACATGTTCATATTTCACTGCCCTCAGAAAATAAGATAAGAAGAGAACATAACACAAGTCCCGTCAGTACTCTTAGTACTTTAATTCAACTTCATCTGCGAAGAGTGCTCTCTCTTAGTACGAAATCTTCAACATAAGGAGGTGAAAAATTATTTGTTGGAAAATTTGGTTTGCGAGGGAGAAAGAAAGGGAATTCTATATTTTTAGGAGACCGTAACGGCAAAATTCAGTCTCCTCCTTATTTATCCGTTTTGTTTGCTCTAAGGTAAGAACTGAAGTTCCGGGAAAGTAATGCTTTGGTGATTTTTTTGGTTGTGTGTAAAAGGGGGGAGACAAAACGCATTTTAACCAAAACACATGCAAAATATTTAAATAAAGTGGGTCATATCATTATTGAAAAAAGTATGTCACGCAAAAATGTTATTTAAAATATTAAAAGGAACCTGTTACAAGTAGGTATTTTGTAAAAAAAAAAAAAAATTTTATTTATCCCATGATATAGGGAGATGTTGTACTTGCAGTTCACAGATACTGTACATTTTTTTTTCTCAAAAATTATTTTGTCTTTTAAGATCATAAAGAAATGATAACAACGAATGAATATTTTATGCTGTAGATGACCATATAAAAGCAGAGCAACATGAATTTCAACCGAATGCCTCTGCACCCCCAGTTTCCCTCGCCCTCACACCTGCCCCCCAATGCAGGCCCCCCACCCATGCCACCTAACCCTGGACACATACCCCAAGGCATGCCCCCACCCCCACACTTACCGCAGCACATGGGGCATGGAGGGGGGCACAGTGGACCAGACCTTGGGAGAAATGATGGCATGATGATGCAAGGACATTATACCAACCAGGTAATATTGTAATTCAGGTTATAGCATTTGTTATTTGATGGGCTTTTGAAATGTTTTGAATCGCTAAATTTAAGGTAAAAATGTACATTTCAATTTAATGAAAACCTTATTCCTTTGGAACGACTTTACTTTACCGGTCCCCTGAAAAACGCGCTAAAATTTAGTGTCGCCGAAGGCGACTTCAGTATATATGAGATCGCGTGACCGATCGTAAAAAAAATTTTAAATACGAGGGTTTTTGGCTTTTTGACCCCAAAATCGAATTCTACGGTTAAAAGTTTAGTTTAAGACATTTAGACAAAATCTTCAGGGAAGATGCTAGACTAACCCTAATCTGTCAAATAATGTGTGAGGAATAACCCTAATCTCTTGGATGGATTCGAGACTAACCCTAATTAATCGCATACTTGTGCAAGGACTAACCCTAATCTCTCAGGTAGGTGCAAGACTAACCCTATTCAGTCGAAAAGTGTGCAAGTTTAATCCTTATCAGTTGAGTGACTCAAATGTTATGTCATAGTCCAATGAGTGCAAGGATCTTGCGGATCTGGGGACCAGTAAAATAAAGTCGACCCTTATTCCTTTATCAGAGTAAATTTTTTTAGCTGAAAATCTTTCAGAAATTGTTTTCTCTCTTGATCGAGCTGCTGTGTTTCATTTTATCCTAAATTAAGATGTAAAGATAAATGAGAATCTTTCACAAAAAATTTTTAACTTGAGCTGTGGTGTTTCATTTTATCCTAGAATGTACAATTGAAAACTGATATCTTTTAGATATAGTTTTCTAACTCTAACTCCTGTTTAATTATTTCACTGTAGGATGTATATACAAGTGGAGGGGATCTTAACCAGGATTTTATGGAGATGAATAACATTCTGGTGGACGGGGGGGATAGATTTGGTGTGTCCACACTCTGCTACGATACTCAGGAATTACTCTGGATGGGCAACCAGGGGGTGCGTATGAGAAATTATTCAGAATACTGTAAACCGCAACTACATGTACTCTTCATGTCATCTTTTATATGCAGTTTGTTAGTCTGAAATCAATCCTCAACGATTTGCTTTTTGTAACACAGAGCAAGCATTCTCTACAAATACGAAACAAAATAAGTGGTAAGGAAATTTAATATTTTGCATGAGCAGATTGTGAACTATTTGTGAAAAATTTCTCGCACATGATTAAAGGTTGGTTTAAAATTATGTCTTTGGGTTTATTTATAGAAATACAATTTTAAACTAAAAGAAACTATAGTGCGTCTACAGTGGTACAGTAAAACTTGTCTAATTTTGGCACTACTTGTTCCAGAAAAATACCTAGATAAGACAACATTTCGGATAAGATAATATTTTCAACATAGAAATTTACAGAAAGGGGCTTCAAGTTAAAAGATATTGGGCAAGATTTCGGAATATACAACATTCGGATTTAACAAGTTTGAATGTTTTATATGTTTTATCATATAGGGTCATGTGACATCATACTTCGGATTAGAATTACAGAAGTACACATCCTTTCAAATTCATGTCAATGAAGACGTTCGACAGATTGTCCCGCTGGCGCGAGGAGTTCTCTCCCTTACTCAGAGTTGCCTAGCCTGTAACAACAGGAGAGGGGTTCCCATATTCACTTACAGGTAGGACATGAAAGGTAGCAGAAAGGTAGAAATGTTGATGAAAGTTTATTTAATATCTATGGTTGCAAAAGAGTGTCACAGGTGGTGAAAAAAGTCTCGTCTCAACCGGGACTGAACCCAGGGTCTCTGGCGTACCGTGCCAGTGCTCTAACCAACTGAGCTATTGAGACCCTTGTATATTGACTGACTTTCACGCACCTGTAAACCCGGTGACATATTCCCCCTCTTCATAGAAATTCGTCCCCAATTTCTATGAGTTAAGAAAATGCAAGAAACATATTCCAAGGGAACAGTGGGTTTTTTTGTAGGGCGCCAAATGTCACTAACCAACTGAGCTATTGACTGACTTTCACGCACCTGTGAACCCGGTGACAAGAGTATGAAATTATCAGTGAAATTTGTGCTAAACGGACACAATACTGATTTAGATTCTGTTTGTTTGTTATGTTATGTAAGCACTGTCTTAAAATTTGAATGTATTATGGACTCTGATGCTTGTTTTATTGTAGATTATTCATTAATGGCTTTATTTATTCTTACTTTAATATTTTTTTTTCCTTTTCAGAGGAAAAAACACATGTGAACCTGCATGTATAATATATCTAGTTTTTACATTGAATCACTTTTCTGGGTGTAATTATCCATTAAACTTATGTAAAAGCTTATTATATATTTGTTTACTTCAGTATCTTGAAGGTTAACATGTAGAATACAAGGATTATGTTGATTTTAGTCTATACATGTAGCCCCAACTGTAATTGGCTACTAATTTTTTCTATATTACTATACCATATTATATTGTAAATAGTATACCATTCACTAAAAGTCTTTCATTTGATATTTGCTGTGTATAAAATTGTAGAGGGCCGACAATGCACAACATGCAGTGTATGATGATGACGGGGCCCTCCACGGTAATCATCGGGGGTCACCAGACAAAGGTCATAGAGATAGAGGTCGAACACAAGGAGGTCATTAGAGAGGTGAAGGACATAGTCAAAGCAACAAAATTAATTTGATGTCTTGAAGTACTGTGAAAAATGAATATTTATAAAAATGAATATTTATTTGGGATTAAATTTTGTTTATCTTGTAGATAACTTTTAGCCACAAAAATTTACTTCTAAGTAATTTTTTTTACCTTTATACATTAATTTATTATGTTATATGTCTATGTTTGAAACAACAAATTGAAGTCCCCATGAAATAACTTTAGATCGTAAATCAATGTTATTTATCCCTATGAAAAAAATTCTGCCTATCCAGTATATCCTAGAAAAGTTGTTAAAAATTTTTTTCTTCTCTCATCCTAGAAAAAAAAAAAACGTTTAATTTTTTAAAAAGTTTTTTTTTTTTTATTTAAGAAAATATTTCTCATTTTAAACAGGTGGATATCCCTGAGCCAGGCTGTGCTATACTGAGAGGCACCAACAAGTATATCTGTGCTGGAGACACAGCTGGAAAGGTACCAGGGAAACGTCATGGGGGTTGAAGGGGGGGGGATAGGGATGCAGGCATTAATGGGGAATGAGACTGCTTCAGGTTATATGTATGACTGTCTAATTTTTGACAATAGTCTGTGATGTATTATCCAGAGGTGAAGTATTTATATGCATGTATATTTTCACCTGGATTTACATATTAAACTTAATATTATTGATGAAATAGGATGATACAGTGTGTTGTTTTATTATCTTGTGTATTTGGTTTTTACCCCCTCAGGTGACCCTATTTGACCACGGGACCATGAAACCGGAACATGTTCTGGATGCCCACACTGGAACCCTGTCAGACTTTGATATACAAGGCAATCTGCTGGTCACATGTGGTTTTTCAACAAGGTACTGTAATGCAAAATTCTTTTTCTTAACATTTTATATGTATACAGTTAAAACAAGTTGTCTTTCTTTATGCTATCATTTGATTATTTTCTCTGTGCTAATTATTGAAAAAGTCGTCTAAATTTTTGTAAGCAATTTTTACAGATAACAATGATTGATGTAGTATGCAATGCTTTGTACCTACACAGTAATTTGTTCTTGGTACAAACACCACTACAAGTTTTTCTTTATTTCTGCTATCACTTGTTTTAGTCTCAATCTTATCACAGAAAAGTCGACTAAATGAGCAATTTTAATGAATAATAATGAATGATGTGTTACCAACAGACACAGTAATTTGACGGCCGACCGATTCCTGATGGTGTATGATCTGAGAGTCATGAGAGCCATGGCCCCTATACAAGTCATCATAGACCCCATGTTTCTACGATTCGTGTCCACGTACAATAATAAAATGGTCATCACGTCACAGGTACACTGGACAGTTTCTGATTTCTCAGTTAATGAAATCAGGAGATAATTAACGGTAATGAAGCTCAAAAGGTCATTGAAACTATAAAAATTGGGAGGAGAGCTAACTAGTGATGGAACGATTGTCGCCGACAATCGATTGTCGGTCGTTAGAAGCTCTTCGATGCTACTAATCGAATATAAAATAAATGTCGCCGACATCGTTAACAAAAAATAAAATTGTCATACTTTAGTTTTATTACCAAATCCAAGTGCAAAGAGCATAAAAGTAGTGATGAACGTTGAAAACATGGAAGGATTCCGTGTCTTGTTGATACTTATACCGCCATGATTAAATATGGGGTTAGACTAATACCAGGAAACGCTAATATTGCAAGGTTTTAATATACAAAGGAAAACATTATTAGTCTGGTCAATCTTTAAACGTAATTTTTATCATAAATACAAGTCTAACTTCTGGATAATTACTTTTAAGACTTGCAATTTTATTATTTTAACTAATTAAAACTAATTTTAAGAAAAATATACATGTATTAAATGAAAGGTGGGACTAATATCAGTAAAATACCCATTGCATGGACTTTATGAAATAAAAATAAATTCCCGTTCTGTTTCAATAGTCTTATATAGTTCTATATTGTTTAAAGTAAACAAAATATTATTTTCCACTTTTTATAAAAGAAATTTCAGTTAACATTTTTGAATATTTTATGTAAGTAAATGTTTTTTTTGTAAAAGTCTGACAGAAATCTGAATAAGTTTCAACTTTTCTAAATTAATTTTATTAAAGTTCAAAATTTTGATTATAATCGATTATTAATCGATTATGCCCAGCCGATTATTACCGATAATCGATTCTGATTTTTTTCCGATTCCCCATCACTAGAGCTAACATGCACCTTTATAATATTGGGGTGGGATCAGTTGCCATGGAGGAGTAAGCATTTCCTACTGACTGGTCACATCTACCATGTGCTCCTTGACATGATCAGGCAAAAAGAAAAATACCTAACACAATTCAGTAATCCCTATGTAACAATTTTGTTTTTGAAAATGTCTGAGGAATGAGGTACACTGTATAAGCCAATTTTTTTTCTATTTATGCATACAAGTTAATGGAAAGCTTGAAATTGTTTTAATCTATATTCTGGAATTGATACATGTACCTGCAAGTATAGAATTAGATTCAATGATATCTTGCAGTGAATGACATTCTGAGAAAAGTAATTTATACTTTAAATTTGTGAAAGAGTCTCTTTATAAGTTTAGATATTCAGAATCTGTTATTGTAAGCTATTCTGCAGTTCCTTGTGTAAAAGTGCCTGCAGTTTTTTGTGTGACCTGCAATGCTTGGTTGTATTAATTTTATGAACAGTTTTAACGGATTCTTGTAGGCAGGCCAGTTCCAGATCATTGAGACAACAGCCATGACTCCGTCCTCGATGAATGTCTACCCCATCAACACCCACGGTAGTCCCCTGCTCAGCTTTGACATCTCCAACAGCTGCCAGGCTCTGGCTTTTGGAGACTCAGGAGGTAAGAATAAAATCTCCGTTCTTTGGAGAAAGTTCTGCTTTTTTTTTTAACACTTCCTCTCCCCCCCCCCCAATTTCTTTCATTGGATTATTCCAGGCTCAAAGAAATAGTAGGGGAAATTTTGGGGAAATATTTCCTTTTAAATTCTGTGTGTATACAAACTTGAATGCATCAATGTGTTTGAGAGCATCCCAATTCCCAAAACCATGTTTGATCCCATGGAAAAGTATTAGACGATGACTACTGTCGTCACATGTTAACTGTATATGGTTATCTCTTTGTAATGTCAAAGTGAAAAATCACTTTCAAATAGCTGCTGTAAAATATAAGGGCAACATATGGCTAATTTATTTGTATGATTTTTAATGACTTTCTGACTCTATAAAATTTATTTTTAGGCTATCTGCATTTGTTTGCCCTTGGTGAGCACCCTTGCTACAACCAGTACCCAGAGCAGACAGAATTCCCAGACCCTGTAAGTCAGCTTGTTTATAAACCAAGTCAAATCCTGTCAGTCAACTTGTTTAACTTAGGCCTTATTGTAAATCAAGTCTAATTCTGTAAGTCAACTTGTTTACCTTACTGCATAGTAAACCATCTCTAATTTAAGTCTATGTCAATTTGTTTACTTTAGGCCTTATTGCAATGTAAACAATCTCCAATTCTATAGGTCAGCTTGTTATATATGTGTAATTCTTTCAAAAAAAGATGAAACAGAGAACAGATCTTTAATTATAATCATGATGATAAATTCTTTGATTAGTTTCTGTTTGTATTCTAGATTGAGCCCATTCAGCGCATTTAACCATAGATCATATATTCTTTGATTGTTTTCTGTTTGTGTTATAGATTGAGCCCATTCCGCCCATTACATTACAGATGATAAATCCATTGATTGGTTTCTGTTTGTATTCCAGATTGAGCCCATTCAGCCCATTACCTCACATATGATAAATTCTTTGATTTGTTTTTTAGATCGAGCCCATACAACCCATTCACATCACAGATGAATACACCCCATACTCCATTATCCCCATGATGTACCCCACTAATGGAACCCTGCTCTCTGATTGGCCAGAATACCTGTCTCAGAGAACCTACAGGTAAATTATACCATTACTTAGGGGAACTTAAAGGTAAAACTCAGACATACTGCTTTTAAAGGTGCTCAGAATGAAGTGCAAGGGATGGGCTTTTCTGCCTAATTGTTAACATAATGCGTTATATATTAGTCTTGAAATAAGTTTAAAACCCACAGGGAATGAAAATGACTTTGCTGGAGTTAATTTATCCTTACATATGTTTATTTATATACGTCATTCACCAGTAATTTGAAATAAATGGTACATCTTCACATTAGATTTTTCTTGCATGTTTTGTCCATTTGCAGTTTTCAGAGGTGAGGCAGGGCATCAACATATAAAAATTATCTATTTAAAGGAAGTGCTAGACTCCATTATCACATATTTATTTATTTTTTTTTCGGCTCTTTATAAGTCATACAAAAACATCATCATTTAAATGTTAAAAGTTAATTACAAGACATTTCTTATTCAGACTTACTTTATTTCACATTATCCCTTTATAAACTCTAATATACTACAGAATGATGTACTTTTTTCCGTGGGGTCATAATTCCATAGAATCTCTATTTCTGTTCAATCCATGGGTAGAAAATTACAAGGATATCTGACGACTCTCATTACTGTATACAGGGAAATTTTCGCCCCTTTAACCCTACCCTCATTTGGGCGAATTCAAAGAATACAGTATAATTTCTTATACAAAACTATGACTGGGTGAATTTAAATCAGGGCAAAATTGTTTGCATGCGTGTAAGGGCGAAAATTGACAGGGCAAAAATAACCCTGTATACAGTATATGCCTTATATACATGATATATGTCTGAAGTTCGATGGAACAAATTTCCGCAGAAAATTTTTGACAGGGTACATAGCGTAAATTATTACAATGTGGAGAAAAAGTACTGCTACAGTAGCTGCAGTCTAAAATTTTACTGTTCTTTGGACAGGTCACTCAGATATGACGAGTTCTATTATCTTTTTTAGAAAACCCAAGCCCCTGGATGCAGACATCTTGCGGTCCATGAAAATGCAGCACAATGTGGGATACGCCCAAAACCCGGGAAAAGAGAAACGGAACCAGATACCATATGTACAGGTTAATGAGAAGTCAAAGAAAGGAAAGGGCGCCGTACCTGAATCCCCGATCGGTAGAAGTATGCATTCATTTTTGTTAAACTATACAATAGAGCAATTTCAGTTCTTTCTCTGCATCACACTGCCTTTCATAAACCTGTCTAGCTAATCACTAAAATGTAAACAAGTCAAAACAAAAATTAAAACATGAATTTTATAGTCAATAAAATTGCATCATTCTAAGGATAGATTTCTTAAATCTATTTTTCATATTAAAAAGTCTATCTCAATCTGATTCTGTCAAAATCCAAGGCACATATGAATGCTAAATGGGTGCTAAACATAGGAAAAAAAACCTGGAATGGAAAAAAAACTTTCGAAGTTCCTAAACATTTGGTATCCAGGACATGAAAAAATGAGCATGGATAGTGGAAACACAAAGCATGTGTCCAAATGAAGTGATTCCTTGTTATTTCAGTAATGTAGATTTACATAAAACTCGCATACATCAAAATGCCAGGGACAGACAATTTCACTTCATTATAAGCGTAATTCATTATACACGCTATTTGTTAAATTGATTATATAAATTAAAGGTACGAGAAATGAAAATCCCTTTGGTTAAACCATCAATTCATCATAAGTGTGTTCGCTATAAACATTTACTGTATTTTGAAATTTTGTTAAAATGTATGTCTTCTTCTCTGTGTTGTAACAGAAGTTTACTACATACATGTATGTCTTCCTTTTTCTTTTGAGATGCACTTACTTTGGCATACACTTGGAAATTCTTTTCTTTACCAGTGGATGACCCATTTATCAAAGTACCAAAGCGATTCAGAAAAGTGGATCTAAAATACTCCAAGCTGGGACTAGAGGACTTTGACTTTAGACACTACAATAAGACACATTTCGCGGGTCTGGAGACCGACATACCTAACGCCTATTGTAACTGCATGCTTCAGGTAATGTACAAAATTATTCATTCGGGTTTTGCACATCAAATATACTCATGATGTTGTATGTCTAAAACTTACATGTGTTTAAGTTTAACAATGAGTTCATTTAACATTTTCGTCTGAATTCAGATGCAGTATCTGTATTTGTTTTAATACTTAAAAAAGAACATTAACAAATTCATGCACATACAACTCCTATTTTTTTAAGTCTCATCTTCTTACAAACAGTGTATCATCTGTGTACTGAATATTTTATTTAAAGTCCACTAAAAGAAATTAAATTCCCAAGGTAGACAACTCTCTTCCTATATCTTGGATTACTTCCCTTTACCAGGTGCTGTACTTTATTGAGCCTCTACGCTGTTCTCTCCTGAGCCATTTGTGTGAGCGGGAATTCTGTTTGGCCTGTGAGCTTGGATTCCTGTTTCACATGTTGGACAACCAGAAAGGACAAACATGTCAGGTATGTATAAGCCCACAATGAGAGTCAGACATTCAGAGGAGGTCTAGAAATTTTTTCCCCAAATCATGTACATTTTAAAATATCATTATTTTGCCTTTTATCAATAGCCAAGTACAGTGAGACAGTGTCACTGTAAACATGTTTTTAATGAATTCACTGGCCTGTTGAATTTCATTCCCTATAGGATTTTTGTAAAAACATAAAAACCTGATTGATAACCTATTAGATATGATGGTGTATGTGTGTTTATAATGAATTGAAGTTTTTCATCTTTAACTCTTCAAACCTACGTTTTATTTGATATTTATTTAGAAAAGATAATTTCAGTCCATTTACAATCAAAACAGAATCTCATAACTGGTATCTTCCCTGTGAACATAAAAAAAGTATCAACAGTTGGAATTTGTCTTTTTTTTTATCATATCAAAACCATTAACTTTCTCACAGATTGAATTTGCCTTTTTTATATCCTCCAGGCCAGTAACTTTCTGCGAGCCTTCCGGACTATCCCTGAGGCCTCGGCCTTGAGCCTCGTGTTAGCGGAGAACGAGGAGAATGACCCGAGAATCAATCTGTCTCGCCTGATACAGAGCTGGCAGAGATTCCTATATCAACAAGTTCACGCAGTAAGTGTTTATTTTGTGTTTCATCATCATAGCAAAAAGCTGTGTACCAAAGCTACAGTAAAACTCATTTAGTACGAACACGGATATTGCAAATACTCACGGATGATAGCAAAGTTATCTTGGATCCCCAGCTATATAAATTTAAAGAATTCCTTATATGGATATAATGAATTACAGATAAAGCAAAGTAATTTTAAAGTCCCAGTTACTTCGAGTTTTACTGTATTGGGGAGGTCTGGAGATATCCGTATACTGGTTATCCGAGTATCTATCTTAGGACCCCATTGGAGATAAGCTCTCGAGCTTTAATGTTTATCCTGGTATCTATCTAGTCATTTTGAATTTTAATTTATTTAGTAAAATACTGTAAATCACGTTTTATTCACGAAAACTTAATTTTTGCATAATTACGAGACAATGAGCTCGCGAAAATTTCATTCTCGCGTTTAAAAGTATTCCTTACGATTATATAGAGGAAAAACAATTCGTGAAAATTATGTCTCGCTAATAAAGAGTCAATGACTATCTCGCGAAAATAAGGTGTCGCGAAAATTTAGTGATCTACAGTATTATTACTTTAATTATTTATTTATAAAATCTTGATTGTCAGCTTTCGTCTTTTATAAGATCATGTATAATTTTGTGTATTTGTTTTATGTATGATGACATGATACCAAATAAATCTCTCTCTCTATATATATATATAAAAAAATACTCTTACAAGTAATAGCCTTGGTTAAAGTCCCTACGCTCCTTATATATACCTTGAGGCCAAGTCAAAAGTATTTCGCCACGAACCTCTAGAATGGTGGAGTAGAGATATACTACATCCCATAAAATATCAATATGGATTTTAAAAATTAAACCAGGGATTCTTTTTTTTAATCTGTTAACTAATGTCTGGTAGATTCCTTTATTCAATGTATTTTGCAAACCAGTTTTCTTTAAAAAAAAAAAAAAAAAAAAGGCAAGAGGGAAATATGATCACTTCAATTATTATACATGTAATTTGATCTTATGATAACAAAATGACCTGGATACATATATTTTAGGCAGTACTGAATAACATGGAAGGTTATAATGCTTATGATTTTTGTTTCGTTCATCTGCATTAAACAATTTAAATGATCTGGAAAGGTAAAATTTGTGTTTGCTTGTTTTTTTAGGAACTCTGTAACAAAAGTCAGCCAGTGAAAGAATGCAAGTCTGAAGAGAATCTAAACAAGTCTTCGGAGAGTTTGACTAAATCAGATGAAAACCTGTCAGAGCAGCTATCAGAGGTCAGTCTAAAAACAGAGGAAGTGTCAGAGGTCAGTCTAAAAACAGAGGAAGAGGCCTCAAAGCCTGAGGAAAAATCTGTGGAAACCACACCCCCCAAGTCCAAGAAGAAAAAGAAGAAGAAGGGGAAAAAGAAGGGGAAAGAACTCCCGGAGGAAGAAAAAACCGAGAAAGAGGCTGAGGGGGACAAGGGGTCAGAGACAGCGGAAGATGAGGGTAAAGAGGGGGACAAATCAGAGGAAGGGTCAACAGACAATCCCTCCACTGAAAAGTAAGGCTTTACTGGTTAAACATTTACCTTACAAGTTAAATGAGTTATCTGTCTTGGCACCTCCAACTGTTTTTCTTAGTCACTTTTTGTAATTTTACTTGCAATTTTACGACTTCTTTCCCAGAAACATTTAACCTGTACACAGCATTGTTAAGGCGACATAAAGAGGGCGGGGCTCAATTTATATGGGAAATGTTTATTGTGACATCACACCAAAATAGATATTTTGATATCCCTCATAATGCCAGAAAATGAAAATCATTTGCAACTTTAACTGTATTAGCATAATAAACAACAAGAAAACTTTTCAATGCATTAAAAATAGTTGCTAGTGAAATCCCACACCACAGGTTTTAAACAAATTACTGATTGCAACGAACATGCCGACACGACATCATTTTGGTAAACAATATGACATATTTTAAATTATCCCATGTTTACCCCCTTTATCCCATGGATATAGCTCATGTGATATTATTTGAATAGTAATTACAGATTTTAGAGAGGCTATTGATACCAATGTTAAACCTTTGTTTAGTGTGATTATTCAATAATTATCGAGAGTATGTATTTAATTTTACCGTGTTTTTTTGTACAGGTTTGGCATATCTTACACCAATTTTTAAGCAAATCGCCTTTTCGCAAGGGCATACATTTAGTGGATCTTAACTATTTTTAGGATATAAATAAAGAATATTTTCCTTAGCTTGAAAAGTGCTGCTGCTTTCTTTAAATTGAGAGCGTGACTTGATAAGTACACAAAAAAATTGGTAAAGATCAATCATAATTTTGACATGAGCCTATTTACTTGAAATTTTGATTAATAGAATGGAAATTCTATTTAGAGCAGCAACACTTTCCAGAAAATACAAAGTATGATGAAACAATTAACAACATATTTTTAATTTCAACTAGGGTATGCCCTTGGTGCATTAAAAAAACCCGGAAAAGCCTTTTATTTTTTCTATGTAAACAAATTTTTTAAACGTAATTAATTTCCTATAATATTTCTTCAAACAGAACTGAGGAAAAGTCGTCGATATCTGAAATCTTGGGATTCAAAATTGTGACGACCCTGAGGTGCCGCTGTGGACAGGAGACCCAAAGACAGTCTGATACCAACATCATAAACCTGAGCTACCCTGACTGTAACCCTCCAGGTAAACTAGATACTGACATCATAAACCTGAGCTACCCTGACTGTAACCCTCCAGGTAAACTAGATACTAACATCATAAACCTGAGTTACCCCGACTGTAACCCCCCAGGTAAACTAGATACTGACATCATAAACCTGAGCTACCCTGACTGTAACCCTCCAGGTAAACTAGATACTGACATCATAAACCTGAGCTACCCTGACTGTAACCCTCCAGGTAAACTAGATACTAACATCATAAACCTGAGTTACCCCGACTGTAACCCCCCAGGTAAACTAGATACTGACATCATAAACCTGAGTTACCCTGACTGTAACCCTCCAGGTAAACTAGATACTGACATCATAAACCTGAGCTACCTCGACTGTAACCCCCCAGGTAAACTAAATACCAACATCATAAACCTGAGTTACCCCGACTGTAACCCCCCAGGTAAACTAGATACTAACATCATAAACCTGAGTTACCCTGACTGTAACCCTCCAGGTAAACTAGATACTAACATCATAAACCTGAGTTACCCCGACTGTAACCCCCCAGGTAAACTAGATACTAACATCATAAACCTGAGCTACCCTGACTGTAACCCTCCAGGTAAACTAGATACTAACATCATAAACCTGAGTTACCCCGACTGTAACCCCCCAGGTAAACTAGATACTAACATCATAAACCTGAGCTACCCTGACTGTAACCCTCCAGGTAAACTAGATACTAACATCATAAACCTGAGCTACCCTGACTGTAACCCTCCAGGTAAACTAGATACTGACATCATAAACCTGAGTTACCCTGACTGTAACCCCCCAGGTAAACTAGATACTAACATCATAAACCTGAGTTACCCCGACTGTAACCCCCCAGGTAAACTAGATACTGACATCATAAACCTGAGTTACCCTGACTGTAACCCTCCAGGTAAACTAGATACTGACATCATAAACCTGAGCTACCTCGACTGTAACCCTCCAGGTAAACTAGATACTGACATCATAAACCTGAGTTACCCTGACTGTAACCCTCCAGGTAAACTAGATACTGACATCATAAACCTGAGCTACCCTGACTGTAACCCTCCAGGTAAACTAGATACTAACATCATAAACCTGAGTTACCCCGACTGTAACCCCCCAGGTAAACTAGATACTGACATCATAAACCTGAGTTACCCTGACTGTAACCCTCCAGGTAAACTAGATACTGACATCATAAACCTGAGCTACCTCGACTGTAACCCCCCAGGTAAACTAAATACCAACATCATAAACCTGAGTTACCCCGACTGTAACCCCCCAGGTAAACTAGATACTAACATCATAAACCTGAGTTACCCTGACTGTAACCCTCCAGGTAAACTAGATACTAACATCATAAACCTGAGTTACCCCGACTGTAACCCCCCAGGTAAACTAGATACTAACATCATAAACCTGAGCTACCCTGACTGTAACCCTCCAGGTAAACTAGATACTAACATCATAAACCTGAGTTACCCCGACTGTAACCCCCCAGGTAAACTAGATACTAACATCATAAACCTGAGCTACCCTGACTGTAACCCTCCAGGTAAACTAGATACTAACATCATAAACCTGAGCTACCCTGACTGTAACCCTCCAGGTAAACTAGATACTGACATCATAAACCTGAGTTACCCTGACTGTAACCCCCCCAGGTAAACTAGATACTAACATCATAAACCTGAGTTACCCCGACTGTAACCCCCCAGGTAAACTAGATACTGACATCATAAACCTGAGTTACCCTGACTAACCCTCCAGGTAAACTAGATACTGACATCATAAACCTGAGCTACCTCGACTGTAACCCTCCAGGTAAACTAGATACTGACATCATAAACCTGAGTTACCCTGACTGTAACCCTCCAGGTAAACTAGATACTGACATCATAAACCTGAGTTACCCTGACTGTAACCCTCCAGGTAAACTAGATACTGACATCATAAACCTGAGTTACCCCGACTAACCCTCCAGGTAAACTAGATACTGACATCATAAACCTGAGTTACCCTGACTAACCCTCCAGGTAAACTAGATACTGACATCATAAACCTGAGTTACCCTGACTGTAACCCTCCAGGTAAACTAGATACTGACATCATAAACCTGAGTTACCCTGACTGTAACCCTCCAGGTAAACTAGATACTAACATCATAAACCTGAGTTACCCCTACTGTAACCCCCCAGGTAAACTAGATACTAACATCATAAACCTGAGCTACCCTGACTGTAACCCTCCAGGTAAACTAGATACTAACATCATAAACCTGAGCTACCCTGACTGTAACCCTCCAGGTAAACTAGATACTGACATCATAAACCTGAGTTACCCTGACTGTAACCCTCCAGGTAAACTAGATACTGACATCATAAACCTGAGCTAACTCGACTGTAACCCTCCAGGTAAACTAGATACTGACATCATAAACCTGAGTTACCCTGACTGTAACCCTCCAGGTAAACTAGATACTGACATCATAAACCTGAGCTACCTCGACTGTAACACCCCAGGTAAACTAAATACCAACATCATAAACCTGAGTTACCCCGACTGTAACCCCCCAGGTAAACTAGATACTAACATCATAAACCTGAGTTACCCTGACTGTAACCCTCCAGGTAAACTAGATACTGACATCATAAACCTGAGTTACCTCGACTGTAACCCTCCAGGTAAACTAGATACTAACATCATAAACCTGAGTTACCCTGACTGTAACCCTCCAGGTAAACTAGATACTGACATCATAAACCTGAGTTACCCCGACTGTAACCCCCCAGGTAAACTAGATACTAACATCATAAACCTGAGTTACCCTGACTGTAACCCTCCAGGTAAACTAGATACTGACATCATAAACCTGAGCTACCTCGACTGTAACCCTCCAGGTAAACTAGATACTGACATCATAAACCTGAGTTACCCCGACTGTAACCCTCCAGGTAAACTAGATACTAACATCTTAAACCTGAGTTACCCTGACTGTAACCCCCCAGGTAAACTAGATACTAACATCATAAACCTGAGTTACCCCGACTGTAACCCCCCAGGTAAACTAGATACTAACATCATAAACCTGAGTTACCCTGACTGTAACCCTCCAGGTAAACTAGATACTAACATCTTAAACCTGAGTTACCCTGACTGTAACCCTCCAGGTAAACTAGATACTAACATCTTAAACCTGAGTTACCCTGACTGTAACCCCCCAGGTAAACTAGATACTGACATCATAAACCTGAGTTACCCTGACTGTAACCCTCCAGGTAAACTAGATACTAACATCTTAAACCTGAGTTACCCTGACTGTAACCCCCCAGGTAAACTAGATACTGACATCATAAACCTGAGTTACCCTGACTGTAACCCTCCAGGTAAACTAGATACTAACATCTTAAACCTGAGTTACCCTGACTGTAACCCACCAGGTAAACAAGATACCAACATCATAAATTAGATACCAACATCATAAACTTGAATTACCCCGACTGTAACCCCCAGGTAAACTAGATACCAACATCATAAACTAGATACCAACATCATAAACTAGATACCAACATCATAAACTAGATACCAACATCATAAACCTGAGTTACCCCAACTGTAACCCCCCAGGTAAACTAGATACTAATGTCATATTAAGCCTGAGCTACCCAGACTGTAACCCCCAAGGTAAGACTAAGAAGAATTTTGTGACAAGGTGTCAGCATGGGCATATATATTTGTCTCATTTACACATCTGTTTTCTATATTTTTGCATGTACATGTATATAGTATTTAGCTGATTTTTGGTACACAATCAATCAATTTTGATTTTAAATGGAATTCTGATATTAACATATTTTATATGCTTGCTAGAATTGTTATCTGCTTTATTTACAATTCCTATATGTGTCGTTAATTTTTCTTAAAATTTGTTTTTCAGGCAGCAATAGGCCCCCTTTTGAGGTGCCTTTCTGTGACGTCCTTAAGAGTACGCTGACAGCAGAACAAAACATGCAGACCTGGTGTAATGTGTGCGACCGGTATCAACCCCATGTAAGATCACATGTGCAAAGTGTCTCTAAATGTTTAAATTTACTCAGATTAAGATTGGATCGAGAGCCTAAAATGAGTCATTTATAAAATACTGTGGAATCGTTGGGTTTCAAGATGGTTCAGTTTTCGTGAAATTCATGGGTAATTCTCATCTGCAAATTAATGTTCTCCACAAATTAAGAAATTAGGGTTACAAAGTCAATTTTCCTTTGCAAGAAATAATGTCCCCACAACCTTGTTCAATATAAGTGATCCACCAAAATTGGCCCCCATGAATTTAAAGGATTTCAGTCTTAAGACAATAGAGTATTGTTGACCTGGTTTCCTCTTCTTTTGACAGACTCAGATTAAAACCATACAGAGTGTACCTGATGTGGTGGCGGTCAACTGCCACATAGAGAATGCTCGAGACTATGAGTTTTGGAAAATGCAGCACATGGTAAGTAATATGTCCTCCTTGTTTTTGACATGTGGTGTGGATATTTCCTGTTTGAATTTTTTTAAAAAATGTGCATTTTGTATGTAAGTGAGTGTATTTACCATGGATCATCCAGGCTTTGTGTGATTATATGACCTACTTATAGACATGCCTATCCAGATAAATATTTTAAAAATTAGACATAAAATTTTTGCATTTGCAAATTTTTTTTGCCCTCATATAAAATTCTTTCACCAATGCACAATTGATGGGATTTAGAACATAGATAGACAGAATACACTCATACAAGATGGTATGGTCATTATGCACATGCATGCACGTGCGTGCACGTGAAATGAGTAAAATTAAAAATACTCTTAAATGAGCGTATTTTTAATACTTTTGGATTAAATGCTTAAATATTGGAAAACGTTGTTAAAGACTAAAATACGTAGAGTTTGTCTTATTTAATGAGGCTTACATGGAATATGGCACCAAAAGGGAGTTGGGGAGCGTTTGGGGAACATCTGTAACGGTCCCCGTTACAATTAGCCCTAGTTAAGGCTTCTGTTTTCACGGAAGACCTTATAGTGATTCTATTGTTTCTTATTATTATTATTCTTTTTCTTCTGACCAAATTTTGTGCAGGCGATTTCTCGTAAACTATTCGGTTGATTTCAATGAAAATTTCAGGAATTATAGGTCATTATATGAATTTTATATAAAATTCAGTTTGTTGGAAAATTCGCTACCAATGCCAAGTTATGGGCAATTTCCTGATTTTAAAATGCAATTTTGTCTTCGAATGTTCTCGAAAACGGCTCAAGATATTAACTGGAGACTTGTTAGAGATGATAGACCATCAGTTATAGATGTGCAATTTTGACATCGTTTGCGTCGTCATTACTTCCGGTCGCTACAGGAAGTGAATTCACAATGTGCACTTTTTCAACTTTTTTTGTTTTTCAATATTTTCTTTGATATAATTAACGGTAATCAAGATCCTACTGGAAAGGCCAAATATATAATTTATTTAAGAATTGATCAATCCACACACTAGATATTCGCATTTAAAAATCTGAAGCGTGTCCAAGATGGCGGCGGTCTCCGTAAACTCCGCCATTAAGCAAGTCGTGTTCTAGAAGGTCAGCTGAGCGTTTAGATGAAGGAAACTTCTACCAAAAAGATTTATGAAATGTAAAGGATTCTTTAGATTGCTACATCGCAATTACGTTGTATTGAGTATATTTTTAATATGAGGTTTTCTCAAACTTCTATTTAAATTGCTTTTGTCTGCATCTTATAGTAGAACACAACATGACTACAAGTGGAAATACGATGACTACAGTCTTTTGTTTTGCACCAGGGAAAACTTATCCTAAACCATGGTTATAAGTAATAGCTTTTCAAGAAACTTGCCTGACTTAATATTCACTATGTTTCTGAAGTGTTACTTGACTTCTGTTTATTTTACCTCGCAGGCTTATGACATATTAAATGAACAGAAAAGACAAATATAAGAAAAACATTTTATTGAACATAAAGAGTATCAGATTCCTTGACCGTCGGAGGGCGAGTGATTTTTTTTTTCAGTGAAACAGTCCAGTCTTTTCATGAACGTGTAACTCATCTCAACTTTGGGGGTAAACAGGATACAAAATTCATGGGAAATCTTACCGAATTCACAGCTTTAGTTTTACTTGGCCGTATACGATATTATATTTGTATAATGTGATAAATATACTTTCTAACGCTCGAAATTCCGGTTATTAGAACATACATTTCTAATTTTCATTGAAGCTATCAGATCCATTAAATAGATCAAACATTTCAAAGGAATATCGTTAAGAACTACTTGTGACGTTTGGCACGAAATAATGTATCATGACCCGACTTAAGTAGTAGACAAATGGCGACAATAGTGCAGAAATATATAACATTGGCATGCCTGTATATGGAGTTGCATGGAATAAAAAGTTGAATACATATCGAATAAAGGAAAGAAAACAGTGTCATCTGTTCATCACTAATAGATTATCTATCCAAAAAATTACTGTTAAAACTCAAGTAACAAATTCCGATGTGATCATCTTGAGCAAGTTTGGCGCGAAGATTTACTTGTGGCGTGTGACGCAAAATTATGAATAGTGACCGCCTTTCATTATTCTAAGACAGATGTGCTGTTTCAGAAGTATATACAAGTAGATTTAGAGATGTGGTCCCAATAGCGTAACAGTAAACGCTTTGTATTTTCATGCTGGCGACCCGGGTTCAATCCCCTTTGTTTTCATAAAAAGTTTTATCACTTTTTCGGCTCGATTTTGCGGGGTTTTTTTTTCCAGAATCGGACGGAAGACCTCTCGTTGCTCGCAACGAGTTTCTTTTCTAGTTATTATTATTATTATTATTTTTCTTTTTTCATAGTTAGGGCGATATCTCAGCTGTGCGTGGACGGATCTGAAAGATTTTTACAGGGATGATGCATCATGAGAATATCTCCAGACGTGTTTTTCATTTTTTCAAAATTCACCTTCCTTAGCGATTTTTGGGGATTTTTGTATTTTTTAAAAGGCATTTTGTCCAGCAGTTTTCTCGAGAACGGCTAAAGATATAAAAGTGAAACTCACTGATGTGATAGAACATCGAACTCCATTATGGGGAACGACCTTTACTTTTCGTCGTTGGCACTTCCGGTCGCAAACGGAAGTGAATTCAAAAAGTCTCATTTCTCAACTTTTTTGTTTTTCAATATTTTTCTTTAGGATTTACAGGGTTTATAGTGCATCTTATGAGAATTCTAAATATGTGTTCAGTATCTTGATGCGTGCATATATTGAAAAGATTTGACCGAACCAAACTTTGTCCCACTGTCGGGGGTTCGAATCCCGCTGGAGGCGTTGCAAAAATTTTTTCTTTGTTAATGTCTTTTTTCAGTTGCAAATAACTTTTATCTTATTTATAACATGTATGGAATATTTTACCGATTTTTTAAAGGTATTTTTTGAGAAATTTTGAAGAATACCTGTAATTATCATGATGTTTGTTGAGAGACCGCTGTGAATAAACGTAAACAAAAAAATACATTCTGAAATCTATTTCATGGGATGACACAACATAGAACTCTAACGAAAAGTCGGTCGGAAGACCGCTTGTTGCTCTAGCAACAAGAACGCATCTAGTTATTATTATTTTTCTTATTTCTTCTCCGGTACTTTTTTTGTCCGCGAGTGTTCTCAGAATCTGTTCACCCAACTAAGTTAAAACCTTTTTAGGGTTAATAGGTGTGTTGTGTAGGTGTGCGGAACGAAGGTCATTTTGCGCGCATACGCCTGCACGTGCGGGCGCGTGAAGTGAGTTAAATGACTGATATACTTAATATAGCCATAACTTTTACATTTTTTGATGAAATGCTTTGAAACTCATTACATGAGGATATATTAATAGTGTTAATATCCTGACACTGTCAAATTAGCACGAACTCACGCGCGTGCACGTGCGCTTTGCTCTGATTGGCTGAAACTAAAATCTCAATATCTCTTTTGTTTTTTGACAAAACCCTTTCAAATTTTAAACATAGTCATGCATTAGGATATCCTACAATATGATATAAAAAAATTTCATGAAATCACGCGCATGCACGTGTGCTGCAATCTGATTGGCTGAAACTTTAAATGGCTATATCTCCTTTATTTTTTGACGAAATGCTTTGAAATTTAAAACATAGTCATGCATTAGGATACCCTGCAATATGATATACAAAAAAATTCAAGAAATCATGCGCATGGACGTGTGCTGCAATCTGATTGGTTGAAACTTTAAATAACTATATCTCCTTTGTTTTTTGATGAACTGCTTTGAAATTTAAAACATAGTCATACATTATGATTTACTACAATATGATATAGAAAAATATTCATGAAATCACGCGCATGCACGTGTGCTGCAATCTGATTGGCTGAAACTTAAAATGGTTATAACTCCCTTGTTTTTCAACCAAACAGGATGGGATTTAGAACATAGATAAATATCAGGGATTCCTACAAGAAGGTATGGTCATCATGCACGTGCACGCACGTGCGTGCATTTGGAACGAGTGAAATTAAAAATACACTTGAATGAGTGATTTTTAATACTTTTGGACTGAATGCTTAATTAATAGTATATTAAAATATATAGATAGTGTAGACAAGATGATATGGTCATAAAGCACATGCATTCACATGCGCACGAGTGCAATGCTAAAATTTGAATATAATTGGTATCCTTCTGGGAAAACATTGTTAAAGTCAAAAATGCACAGAATTTGTCTTATTTAATGAAGCTTACATGGAATATGGCGCCAAAAGAGATTTGAGGAGCGTTTGGGGAACATCTGTAACGGTCCCCGTTACAATTAGCACTAGTTATGTTCCCCAAACGAAGTTGGGGAACATATTGTTTTTACTCTGTTTCTTATTATTATTATTATTAGGGATGTCAACGAATATTCGAATATTCGAATATTCATTCGATGAGTTGATATTCGAATATAAATTTATGATTCGAATATTCGGATTTTAAGTATACAAGCATCAAAAAGAAAACAAATCTGACAAAAACTGAAGTTTTATCAGAAATTGAATCAAATTCTTATCGTTGACCAAGAATAAGATTTTATTTAAAACAAAATTAAAAGACACTCCTCTTGGATTACCTGAAAGGCGTGAAGAGTGTATCTACTAAAATAATAAAAAAATATTTATTTGATCATTTAATTAGAGGTATAACAGTGTCCAGTACTTAGAATTAGTTTGTATTGTTGAGGGGACACATTTTTTAAGTAACACACATGGATCCCTTGTTTATGTATACATCATTTAAAATCATTATCAGGAAATTAATTAGCTTAGAGTAATTGCTTTTAATGTTTCTCCATTTGATAATTATTCAGTGTGGTATAAATCTGTAGGGTTATCAGTATACACTTTGGTAAGGTGATTAATTAATCTGGAACTTATTAAAAGAATCTTTTGAATTTTCGGGGGTAATTTTTTTTATGATATTTTGGATGTAAAC